GAGCGGCTGATATGTACGACATGAAAGATCAATCTGATGCCTATAAACAACCTGCAATTGATTCCATGTCCTGGTCACGTAATTAATGAAGACAAGTCAGCACCACTTAAATAGATCTGAGCAGGCTGGTGTAGTGGAGGGTGTCCCTGCCCATGGCAGGGGGGCTGGAACTAGATGATCTTTGAGGTCCCTTCCAACCCAAATCATTCCATGATTCAACTTGTTAATAATTACAATTTAACTAAGGTGTTCAAGTTGCACCGTGCACATTTTCATAATGGAAACATTTATTAAAATATGAGGAAGGCAATGGCATGTTTTTCCAGTTCGTAGTCAAATGTAAAGAAACCCCAAGCCAAGTGTTCTGTAAACTGATGTAGTTAAGCTATACCTAGAAAAAATTTTTGACATCCAGTGTTGAAATAATCTTTTTCTTAACTGCAAAGGAGTCCTAACCAATACTTACCATTTGATGTCTTCTGTAGCTCTGCTTTCAAATGTTCAACTTCCTTCTTCAACTTTTCATCACTTGCTTCAGCTGAATCCTTTCTACCACTTCCTTTTTCATTCAAGGCCTATTAAAAACCACAGTTGCCACAATTAATTTTGTTTGCATTAGTCTGACATTAATGCCAAACAACCAGAGAATGTCAGCCCTGATCTTGCAAAGTGACAGGTTTTATCAAGTGCCAACATGACACAGGCAGATACTCAGTCATTCTGAGGTGAGAGGAAGAAAGAAAAAAATGTTCAATGTTTTAAGATGATATAATTGTATACTTGTAGTAGTTTGGCATTATCTCCTGTGTAAGAGTACTTACTATCTCTGCATAAAACCCACAACTTCTTTTTAGGTTATAAATGGCTTTTCCAGAAGACACACTGGGACTGCAACTGACAGAACACTGCCATGTTCATGTGCAGCTTGTTCTAATAATTTATTCTAATTTAAATCATGTAATAAATCACAAATCTCTCCTTGTAGGTTTACAGCTACTTCAACCTTCAGAATACCTCAATACCCAGATTCCATTTCCACTGAAATTCAAGAAGAAACTAGGAAAGGATTCAGGAAGAGCCCTGTAAGTACTAGACATAAGACAGTATGCTCCTTGTACAAGGAAAATAATTTTTTATACAGACTGGTAAACAATCCAAAGAAAAGAGCTGAAGAAAATTTTCCAGAAGCAATTTAACCAAAGAGCAGAGATTGCATTGGTTTGCTGGTAACAAAACTATAGCAAATTTGTCATGAAATTTGCCCCAGATTGCCTCCTTTACTTTGTGCTCCTCTTTTTCTAGTAATATATAAATAGTTATTTCTGTAAACTTATATCTTAAGTACTGTGCTCCATGGAACCTCTGAACAGGAGCTGGTGCAGACCTAGCACACCAGAGCAAACTTAGAGTACTTATACTTACAGCCAGTGCCCGATATGCAATTGCTCTTGCCTCTCTCTGACGGTGGAATGGAGCGCGCTTGTACATGAATGCAAACGCAGGGGCCAAGCCACAGAGGAACTTAACTCATAATGTCTCTATAAAGCTAAAATAAACCAATTCTGAATGCTTTACATTTCCAGCACAATGGAGATCCAGTCACAGCACGCTGGCTGTACCTGTGGCTAACACTGTTTTTGCAAAACATGCAATCAAACACACAAATAGAAACAGACAGGAATACAGTTTCCACTTTCTGGCTCTCGCCTATGAGCAGATAAGAGAACATGTTGCTAAGAATGTGAAAACAGAACAAAGAGGACTTGTGGCCAAATCCCAACAGGACAGAGATAAATAAATAAAGTACCAGTGTGCAGTAAAGAGACAAATTCCATGGCTGAGGGAGGAAGTCTGGATGGTTTTGACAAAACACCAAATCCCAAAATTTTGGAATCATTTTGTACCTGGGAAATACCTAACAAATACACGCTACAGTGATCCTTGTTTTATGACACGTCTCAAGCAATTGCATTTTTTTACATCTCTTCTTGTATTTTTTGTCCAGTGTCTGTTCTCTTTGACTGAAGATTTATTACAAAAAAAATAAGAGTGCTGGTAACCATAGACACCACTCCAGACAAACTGGAAGGAAACCTGTAGACACCTGCAGTGAATTTTGTTTTGAAAATGTGCCAGACTGAAGAATGCTATAAAAGCCTTCATATCCCGGCTATCTGCAGTCCAGCTTATGGTTCAATCTCTTCCAAGAGAAGTCAGACTAACCAATTATGAGACAAGATTTCATACATTTATCTTTATTATCTTTGCTGACTTCCCTTCCTGTATACAACTGTATATTGAGCTACAACAGAAAAATGATAGCTTAATTTTCTCCATTCTTCTCATAAAAAAAGCCATATCTTTGGTCCATTGGTGATTCTTTTAGGTAAGAAATTATTGGCAATATCCTCATTAATACTATGGCAGTGCCTTACTGTGAAAGGAAGATGTCAGGAAATGGGCTGACCCACCATAAAAATAGGTGCAAGAACAGAAAAGACCAATTTTACAAGTCAGAAAAGACATTTCAGGACTGGAGCAAATCCTATTTAGAACAAACAGCTGGCAGAAGAACAGCTGTATTGTAGGCTTTTCCATACTGGACTGCTATTGCTCTCACCTAAACAGCCAACTGTTTAGGATAAAAAGAATAAAATTAGTGTCTACCTCTACTTAGCCATGATTAAATTCAAACAGGTATTTTAAGAATATATTACCACTTTGATGAAAATTGTACTGGAAAGACAGAACTTCATTTGTTTGGATTACTTTAGCTTTCTTTGTTAATAAAATGCTACTGAAATTTGTGTTCAGTACTCTGAATTACATATTGTAAGAACATTCTTCCTTTTTCCACCAGAAGGAAAAAAAAAGAATGAATGTTATTCTATAGCAAACCATCTCCAGAATATTTTGTACTAACTACTTACTGTATAAGAAAATAACTTTAAAAAGTTCAAAGATACCTCCTGAAGCCTTTCATTCTCGGCCATGTATTTTTTGGCTGCTTCAGTAGCATCGTTAACTTGCGTTTCCAGAGCTGCATGAGATGCCATCCCTTTTGCCAACTGAGTAAGAAGGGTAACAGTACGTCTCAATACACTAGTGAAGAAACACAGTGAACAGCACAGTAATTCACAGCACAGTAATTCACAGCACAAATTAAAAAAAAAACAACCACCAAAAAAATAAAACACAAGACAACCCCTTTCCTCTCTCTCTGCCTTAGATGTGAAAACAAAACCACAAGAGGACTGTTTGAACACCTGAAGGGAAACATCCAGGATCATAGGTGACAAATAATAGTAAAATAAGAGACTGAAAAGATTTTCACCCATCAAAAAAATCTGATTTTTACCTGATGAAGAACCTCCCTCCTACCAAAAACCCACAGCTATTAAGGGGTCAGAGACCACTTGCTTAAAGGCTGAAATACTCTGACACGACCCAGTGTTTCAAATGGGATGGATCTCTGAATACAAGACCCCAGCAACATGTTATGGTAATGAGCACAATACAAAAAACCCAAACCAAACCACAATACAACTTCATAACAGGTCATACAAGAATAAAATTAGCAGTGTGAGAACACTAGTCTTCAAAGTGCTGTCTAAACTGTACAAATCAGAACATACGTGAATGTCAGCACTCATATGGCATCTCGAATCTAAGCTTTGCAATTACATCCCTTGATTTGATCTAGTGATTACCTCTTTGCATTACTACTGTCATTATTCATCTTGGAGTCTTTCAAAGCAGTAAGCTGCTGAATTGAGGAAAGGTCTAAGCAACACTGAATTAAATTAATTCCTGTAATATAACTATGCAGCTGCTCTTCAAAAGAAATGTGAAAATCCAAGTAATTGGCTTTTTCATAACTGAAAACGCATTAATAGACCTTTTGGCTTTCAAGGTTAGCCCTCCCCCCTGCTTTTGCTCTTTTTTTTTTCCGATTTTAACAAAAAAGTTAAGGTCCCCATGTTACTACTTTTCCAAGAGTTAGCATGTTTTACTATTGCTTATTAATTTATAGATGCAGCAATCAGGAGTCAGTAAAACATCATTATTAAAACAGAATCACATAGGTTAAAAGGGGTTTCCAGAGGTCATCCTGTTCAAGCTCCTGTCCAAAGAAGGAACAGGTTGAGAATGCTTGTCCAGTTGAGTTCCCACTGTCTCCAATGACGGAGATTCCACTCTCTTTCAGGGTCCTTGTTCCAGTATTTGACTGCTCTTGATAGCAGAAAAAGTACTTTTTACCACAAGTTAAAATTTCCCAGGTTCCTGGCCTGCTGCCTCTTGTCATTCCTGTGTGGATCCACTGAGAAGAGCTGGTTCCATCTTCTCTACATCCTACCACTAGATAGCTGTAGAAAGCAATAGAATCTCCCCTTCAATGTCTCTCTTTCTGGCTGAAGCCAAGCTCCCTCATCTTCTCCTCATAGGTCACATGTTTCAGCCCCTAACCTTCTGGGTACCCTGCTGCAGTACTCCAGTATTTTGGGGAGTCAAAACTGGACATAGTCCTGCAGCACCACATGTGCAGGATAAAGGGGAATAGCCACTTCTCTTGACCTGCTCACTACGCCCTTGCTATTACAGCTCAGTACATGACTGGCTGTCTACCAGGATCCCAGGGCCTTTTCTGCAAAACTGCCCTCTACCCAGTCAGCCAGCCCCCAGCCTGCGTGCTGTATGTGGTTATCCTGTAAGATGATGGACTCTGCATTTGCCTTTGTTGAACTTCATGAGATTTCTGGCAGCAGGTCTCTCCCACCTGTCTAGCTCACTCTGAACAGAAGCCCTGCCTTCCAAGATACCAACCGCTCTGATTTGGTACTGTCTGCAAACTTGGTAAGAGCACCTTCAATCCCATCAGCTGGGTTGTTAACCAGGACACTAGACAGTATTGAGCCCATTACCAATCCCTGAGAGGCACCAGCCAGAATTTGCATTACTATCCTTTGCGCACAAAGGCACAGGGAATTTTCCACCCACTTTTTTCTTCACTTCTCCAGCCCATATGCTTCCACATTTAGGCTATCAGAACACCACAAGAGACTATGTCAAAGGTCTTGCTAAAGGCACTCAACATCTACTACTCTGCCCTTTATCCATGCAGCCAGTTATCTCACTGCAGAAGGCAACACAGATGATCAGGCACAATCTCCCCTCAGCAAATCTGTCCTGGCTGTTCCAAGTCGTCATACCCTTCATGTCCCTAGAAAGAGCTATGAGTAAGATTTGCTCCACAACCTTTCCAAGGACTGAGGTGAGGCTGATTAGTCTCTAGTTTCCTGCATCCTGCTTTTTGTCCTTCTTGAAGACAGGTGCAATGTTTGCCTTTTTGCAGTCACCAGGATCCTCCTCTAGGATGTCACACAATTGCATATGCCTGATCTGCTCAAGTACTCCCTAGCTACATCTTTCACTGCTGTGGGTAATGTTACATTCCCCACCAACTCTCCTGAAAGGCTCAGAAAATTGGAAGGACAAACAGCAGACCTTACCAGTAAGAAACAATGTAATGTAAGGTTGGTAACGAGACACTCAATGCCCATTCTTTTCCATATCCTTTGTCATTTGGTCCCCTGCCCTGCTGAGCAGTGGCCGCAGGTTTTCTTTATCTTTCCTTTTGTTTTCAGCTCTTCTCATCCCTCTCTGGTTCAGCATGGGGTAACAGAGGGCCAGACAAGCATTGGCAGGCTCTCCTCATCTTCCAAGACATCAATCAGATTAGCAGATGGGTGCCTCTGTCCTACCTAGTGGACAATCTCTGATTACTATTACTGATTACTCTTCTACGCAGACCGTTGGTGGATGAAAGCTTGGCTGGCCCTGATACCTCCACACTAAGAGGTCATTTTCCTCACCTGTACCTAGTGTTCTGCAATCGCTGAACCACAGATGGAGAAAAGCTTTTGTTGTGTTGCCACAAGTCACAAGCTTCTAGCCTCCTCCATCTTGGGAACCTTCATCTACCACTCTTCTGGAATTTTCCTATTGGCTGACGTACTAAAATGAATCGAAACTGACCCAAAGAACGAACCAAGTGCATCCAAGTACTCATTCGTACCTATATGTGGTCCTAACTTGGCAGGATGACAGCAGCAGCAGCAACTCACAGAAAACTTTTTTCCCCTTCTCTGACAAGACATTATGCCTGCTTAATAGATAAGCAAAGAAAAGTTCTTTGATCTATCCACTACTGTAGGAGTATTTCTTTCTTCTAAATCTTGGTGAAAGGCCAGTATCCCACAAACAGGCCTTATGCAAACCTCTTCAAGAGCAGAGCTTTTATCCACAATAAAAATCTATTAGGGCCACCTGGCAAGTTTTCTCCCTTGAAAGCTGAGTGGGAGTAGGATCCTGGGAGACCAGTTTCCAGCTCTAGTGTAGGACACTATCCAGCTATTCCTCTCTTGGAGCAGAGATCACAAACATATTTGTGCATATTTACTTAACCTTTCTGAAGGAAGACAAAGAACATGATGCACTCCTACCACTATTGTGAAAGGCTACAGCCTTCATTTTTTCCAAAGTTTTCCTATTCAAGTTTTATACTAATTTTCCTTGACAATTCTTTATGTATGATGCTCCTCAATGATCAGCTAGAACAGCAATATATCACTCCAAGAGGAAGGAGGTTGTCAGAAGTCTCTGTGATTCCAGGCATTTCCTTGTTCTGTGTTCCTCTTGCGTATCTAGACAATGTCAAGCAGCTCACTGAAGGCATTCAGAAGAGGGTCAGCATTCTTTGCCCAGTGTCAGCATAAAAGTGTACAAACAGGAAATAATCTGACCAACACGTCTGTTTCCATTCATTCACATTATCTGTGCCCAATTAGTTCACATGCCCCTTGCCCGACTGAGATCTGTAGGTTCTTGTGACTACTGTGAAGATTCACAGGCAGTCTTGGCTTCAACTGCTGGGCCGTACAGAACTGTCCTTTCCATTACCCCGTTTTATTAGCTGTATTTAAACATCCTAGAAGGGACAGCGCACTTAAGATCATAATATCATAGTAGGCCAGTTGCCACAAAGTGCTCCATCTGAAATAATATCTGAAACTTTCCTCAGAAGACAGAACATTATCTTACAGTTCCTAACACTGAGCTTTAGACAAAGTGGTTCAAGTCAGACTCAAGCTTTGCTTCTTAACACAGAGGGATGCAGTAATACCTTCTTGCAGCATATTAAGATTGTTTTAACAGGACTTTAGTTTTTGGGTCTTTTTTATTCCATTTTTCTGTGTTCAAAACAAATAAAACACAGGGCACATGTTTAAGGAAGGAAATGAGTATTCCCTGAAGAAAATTCTCCTGCAAAAGACGTGTTCTCAAACATTCAAATGTTTCTTTCCATGTGTTGCTCACATATCCTTCCAATCTTCAAACATTTGTAAGGTATTATTTTCCCTGATCTTACTTGCCTCATAGCCAATCTGCTCACACTTATTTCTTTAATTTCTTGAAATTGGCCTTCCGATCTTTTTTTACAGTTGCATTACTTTGTGTGATAGTTCTTGTAAGAAACGCGCTACATAGAAATTAGAAAAATGTTATACTTACAGCCAAAGAAATAAGGAAAAACCTGAGAGATAGAGATTTCTTTGTGATCGAAAGAGTTTCATCTGAATATGATCAAAGGCATTGGTATTGATATTTACAGCCTTTTCATTCACATGAACAGCCGAGTACTTCCTAACTTCTCTAACAGCATCTGCAAACAAAAACAGTTTGATCTTATTCACATCTGTGAGTATGCACGTATGGTAAACCAGACATAGTACTAGAAATATGTATTTTTGACTTTCTGCTCAGCAAATAGGCATAGGACAAAGAGTAATGTTATCCATACATTTTAAAGAGAGGTCTTGATAAATCACTGAAGCAATATAATACATTTCCAGAGATATGCCAAACCATTGCCCAAAACATGCTTGAACAGTCGTTTCCATCACTTGCACCCAGCCACCAGGGATCAAGCCAAAGCAACATAGTCTACGAATGTTACCATAGATCCTTCAGACAGTGTCAACTGTCACTGCTAACAACTGAATTAAAATCAGCCAGCAGACAAACAGTGAGAAAAGGGAAAAAGAAGAGATGCCTTCTGAAGTACTTGCCTCATATGAAATTTGTTAGATAAGCATGTATTTTAGTAATGACAGAAGTGTCTACTTTATGCTTGAATCAGAGGGAAAAAGTTATTTCTGTAACATCCATCAAAATAGGAAGACTGTAGTAACACAGTGTTGAACATAAACAGAACAGAGGGAGTAAGCTACACCTCAGCTTTCTTTCATCTGCCTTTCATCCATCTTTCGGCTTCCTTTCATCCATCATATACTCCTGATAGTTCTGCAGAAGGCCCAATACACTGCCAACACTTTTTAAAGGACAAAATAATTAATTAGGACTTACACCTATATGAAAACAAAAGCTAATGCAGTTAAGAGTTCATATTACTTAAGGTCATCATACATACTTAAGGCCAACAGAGCACCTAAAATGTCCTCCTGCACAACAGCAAAAATACACATTTCATGATGCACCATCAGTTCTTGCAGATTATTTTAGCCACGTGTTATTGAATAGCTGCTGCATTTCTCCAAAGAAAACCATGTGAGAATAATATTACTTACGACTGTCTCTTTTATATCCATAAGTTATTTAGAAGGGAAAAAGGAAAAAAAAAGATTTGAAGTAAAATTTCAAATAATGCAATGAAGACTAAGACCAAACAAAAGTCCATATCCCTGTGCGACAGGAAGATTCTAGACCTGCAGTAACCTACCATCTTATGCTACAGGGCAAGCATCTCGTCACTGCTTTACTCTAGCCCAAATCTATCTTTCTGCAAAACCAACAACCATCACCAACTCAAAAGCAAACTTTAGTCAAAGTTTTCAGTAAGAGTTCAAGAAGAGTAAAAGAACTCTATCAGTTTTCAGTCTTAAGCCACTTACTGAAGGATCTACTTCTAACGTTAATACTAAAGATGATCTAAAATTATATTTAAATTTCCAGAGTTTTTTTTGTATTGGGAATATGGTATTGCAGTCTAGTCTGACTTTGTTATATATGCAGTGTGCCTGTACATTTCTCTCAGCAGAAAATAAAACCAAGCATTTTTCCTTTGTATTTAAAGCAGTTTGGAATTAAATAGCATTTTCATTGTAAGACTCTGGAAACACTTCTACTCATAGAGGAGAACTACTTCTGTCACTGAAATACAGGAGACGCTTACCACAGAAAGCGGTCAGAACAGACATTACATTAAAATCGGTTGGGCATATGGCCATCATTCAAGCTCCAGTTTCACTAAAGCTTTACTCCTACTTTAGGAGTCTAGGATCTAGACTTTATGATCTACTCATAACAAGTGTAGCCAACAGCTGTTTTGTATCTGTGCTGAGCAAAAGTATTCAAATAGCTCAGTACTTTGATGTATTCTCCTGGTCTTCTATTTCACCAGCAACCAAGAGAAAGAGTGCCACCTACTGCATACTGAGCCACTCAGCCAAATTCTGTCATCAAACCTTTCAAGTTCATTTACTCCTGTGAGAAAGTGAAACCAAGCAGCAGCCTACACCAAGCTCTATTTTTCCTCCTCATTCACTACTATATTACCATTGCATTTGGATTCCCAACACAGATGCAGCATAAGCCTTCTCCTCTTACATTCTATTGTAGAACTTTTAAACAAATTCGCTGACTTACATAGGCTTGAATCTTTTCAATTAATCTACAGCCATGAACTTCATATACCAAGTTTTTTTTCCCCCCGATTTGATAAGAAATTATTTAACACTTACCAAGAAACAAGATGATCAGTAAAACAATTATTGTAAGGAACATCTTGTTCCAGAAAACTGCCATTTTGCTCCATAGAGGAATCATAAAAATCTTCTGCCATCTGTAAAATAGCATTGTGTTACTCAAAAATAATTAAACACAAAAAGAAGAGCATAATAACCTCACAGAAGAGAGCATTGTTATTGATATGAGACTTATGTAAGGTCTCTAAACAGCTGCTTTATTGCAATATAATTTAGGTATATGCAACTTTTCCAACAATCCAACTTGCTTGTCTCTTTTTTGTTTCTTGTCAATACAAGCAAAGACAGTTAGTTCAACTTGGAAACTTCTCACATGATAGCAGATACTCTCCAGATCTGTTTTATTTTAACTTTTACTTTGGCTAGCATTACTTTGTGTTCGGTCCTGACTACAATAAACTCAGGCATGGGATAAAGACTGTAAAACCCATTCCATTATTTCTACCCACTTACACTTCTTGCTGACAAATAAAACAAAACCCCTCCACAAACAAAACAACTCTCGTGTTTGTAATTTTGTCAAGTGTTAAAATATCTTACAAGACCATAAATTTATTTGTCACATAAGCAACTTCAGAGGTCAAATGGTGGTGAAGACCAATTTTTTTCTGTTTAAACAATCAATTGCCTATTCAGTATTACTGCATAGAGGGCTTTTCAAGAATTCGCACTTGCAGCACAAATGAAGAACATCTGATGTGCTCAAACGAATGAAACCCACAAGAGACAACAACAACAGAGCAGCTACTTGTCCTTTGCTGCAGGTTAGAATCAGTGCTACTGCAGAAACGTAGTAGTACCTAGTTATGTCATTAGGGATGTAACACAGGCATGCTAGTCACTGTCTCATTGTATCAGGTAAAATTTCCCACTTTTGTTAAGAGTATTTACATCTTCCAGAGACTGTTAAAATTTGTCCTTTAACAAAGCAGTTTCCAACCTACTATGAACCTAATTTAAATTAGACTATAGCATCATGTCCAATGGCTCCTTCTGGTTCTGCACCAGCAAGAACTAAAATACTTTAGCACTGTATGTGCATTTAAATCTTCTAGTAAAATCAGAATTCTTTATAGCATACAGCCATAGTCTGTATCAACTAAAAAGCTTACTTTAATTAAATCAAGTTACAAGTCACAAGAAGTCAGCTTGCTAACTCTTTAAGTACGTAATTCTCCAAGTTCCATATTGACCTGCACTTAAGAAGTGATTCTCTGAGATATGACTTTAGACCAACCATACTGCCAAGTTATATTCAGGCTAAAAATAAGATGTCTTTACTGCAAAGTATGTTATATTTTCATGCTTGTTTTTCCTCAACAAGTATCAACATTTGCATTTATTAATGCTGCCTTTCCTTCTGGTGACAGAAGTCACCAAACCTAGAGTCTTGCATCTGGGTAAGAACAACCCCATGTACCAGTACAAGTTGGGGACTGAACTGTTGGGGAACAGCACAGAGGAAAGGGACCTGGGGGTCCTGGTGGACAGCAGGATGACCATGAGCCAGCAATGTGCCCTTGTGGCCAAGAAGGCCAATGGCATCCTGGGGTGTATTAGAAGGGCTGTGGTTAGTAGGTCGAGAGAAGTTCTCCTCCCCCTCTACTCTGCCCTGGTGAGGCCGCATCTGGAATATTGTGTCCAGTTCTGGGCTCCTCAATTCAAGAAGGACAAGGAACTGCTTGAGAGAGTCCAGCACAGGGCCACAAAGATGATTAAGGGAGTGGAGCATCTCCCTTATGAGGAAAGGCTGAGGGAGCTGGGTCTCTTTAGCTTGGAGAAGAGGAAACTGAGGGGGGACCTCATTAATGTTTATAAATATGTAAAGGGTGACTGTCATGAGGATGGAGCCAGGCTCTTCTCACTGGCATCCAATGATAGGACAAGGGGAAATGGATGTAAACTAGAACATAGGAGGTTCCGCTTAAACATGAGGAAGAACTTCTTCCCAGTAAGGGTAACAGAACACTGGAACAGGCTGCCCAGAGAGGTTGTGGAGTCTCCTTCTCTGGAGATGTTCAAAACCTGCCTGGACATGTTCTTGTGTGATCTAATCTAGGTGGCAGGAGGATTGGACTAGATGATCCTTTGGGGTCCCTTCCAATCCCTAACACTCTGTGATTCTGTAATCTGTTAGATTAACATAATATATTTACACCAGCCACCGCTACAGATGTACCGCACTTAGCACTACAGTTCTGTCTTTTTGCATACTTGCATTTTCATATTGTCAATGTACTTATTCCTCAGGAATTTAAAAGCTCGTTAGCAAATTTGAAAAGGAGTTCATTATACAAAACACGAGCATGCACAAAAGAGGCAAACAATCTGTTTGAAGGCTGACAAGCAAGTAAATCAAAACTTTAAAGAACAGCAGTTTCTTGTCTGTTTTTAATTGTTCAGGCTTTATCACTCTGACAGAACCAGCTCCCAGGCCACCAAGATGTGCAAGGCAGAACTGCTGCCCTCTGGTACTGTTACTGTCATAGCAGCTAAATCTAATATTTAACCCCTCAGGATTCCCACGACAGTTTTGTTAACACGATAATTGAACATGTCACATAAAGAATAAAGTTATTTCACTCTTTCAGAAAACACTGTTCAAAGGAATAGCTGGATGCTACAAATCAAGGGCAAAATCTATCCTTTGACTATAATTAAAAGCACTGTGTTTAATGTTTGAATAAATTTTGGTAACACTACAGGTTATGAATTTGCTTTTCAGCCACAAAGACTGGATTCAAGTCCTGTTTATGTCATAAGTGAAACCTATTTCAATACTCCCAAAGTACTGTTGCATGTGTCATCAGCCTGCAGAAATTCTTGCAGCTAGTTTCCTCATACAAGCCATTAATAATCTGATGATTACAACTCCCATAATACTTTTCCCCTCTTACATACAGTTGTACTTTTGATTAGAAAACAACAGAAAATACAAGAACTCAATAATCTATGTTGAAATGCTGAACTCCTCACAAGCCAGCTTGTGAAAAAAAAAATAAATCAGAAGTTAAATTAGATTTTAGAACAGTTTCAACTTCTGAAGTTGAGGAAGCATGACTAATCATTGATACTGGCTGTGGGTGATCCAGCCATTTTGGAGACTCACACAGGTTTCAGTAGGTAAATTCTAAGTCCCCATAGTGCAGGGTTTTGGTTTAGGTTTTGTTCCTTAACAGTAAAAGCTGCATCCTTCATTCTAAATATATCTAAAGATGCAGAAAACAAACATGTAACAGTTTTTAAACAACACTGAGATGGGCGGGTTTTTTTTAAAAAAAGCTTTAAGGTTTCATTCTATTTGGTTGTTTTTTAGAATTACTGATATTCTGGAAAGAAATTATAACTCTGTTTCTCTTGCTTCTTGTAGAGGAGCTAGCTTTGTTTATTTCTTATAAATAAAAATAATGATATTATGCAATTTGAAGAGCTACTTACAGGAAAGAATCTCAAGATAAGGTTGTAAGCAGGCCTTTCCATAAAATAAGAGTAATTAACACATTTTGTTTCCTTTACTAAGGGCATTTATCTCACAGGAATGAATTTTTTTTTCTTAATGTTTGTGTTGTGTTCCAGAAGTGTTACTATTAAGTTAATCTGTATACAAGTTCATAGAGGCCTTTATTTCAGTAGTCCTGAACCTTCTGCATCAGGCCGATGCCCACATTTTTTAAAACAAATGATCACAAATTTCTTACAGCCCTTACACACACTGTACGTGGTTAGCTTTGAATATCAGATAATCTCTTATCTCTTCAGCTCCCACGGTGCCCAGTGCACACCAAATCGATGTAAAGCTACTCCTGAAAAGGCTGCACTGTCCTCCCATTCCTTACTGAGCTCCTAGCAAGGGAAGCCAGATGCTCTCCTGGATGCTGGCTACTCCAAAACCCCCCCCGAGACGACTGGGAGACAAAGTCCCACTCACTCAAGGAAAGCAACGGGGCTTGTCCTGGGAACCCCGACGGCTGCGCGGATGAACCAGCAACGTGTAAAGCAAACACAAAACTCCTC